CACCCTCTTTCCAATTTGTCTATAGCATTCATTACAATTTTTAATACTTTTATGTTCTCCAGTCTTTCAGTCTCTACCATAGAGTGCAGTCTGTATGTATTAAAAGTGGAGACATACAGTGTCTCTCTTTCATAGCCTGACTTGCTTCACCCAGCAACAAAGCTTCCATATTCATCCACTTTTTATCAAATTCCAGGGCCTTGCTTTTTATGGTTGAATAGTATTCCACAGAGTATATGTGCCACAATTTTTCAATCCATTCATCTGTTTGGGGACATTTGGGTTGGTTCCATGTCTTAGCAATCATGAATAAGGCTGCAATGAATATAGATGTGCAAACACTTTTCCAAATAAGTGCTCTCCAGTCCTTTGGGTAGATACCTAGGAGTGGAATTGCTAGATCATATGGTAGTTCTATCTGAGGGTCTTTATATTGTTCTCCACAGTGGCAGGACCAATTTATATTCCCGCCAACAGTGTAGGAATGTTCCCTTTTCACCCCATCCCCCCAGCACTTATCATTATTTGCTTTTTTAATCTTTGCCATTCTGACTGGGGTTAGGTGGTATCTCATTGTGGTTTCAATCTGCATCTCCTTTACAATTAGGGATGTTGAGCATTTTTTCATACACTTTTTGGCTGTCCGTGTGTCTTCCTTAGAGAGTTGTTTACTCAATTCATTTTCCCATCTTTTAACTGTGTTGATCATTTTCTTCCGGGTAAGCTGCCCGAGTTCCCCGTATATTCTTGTTATCAGTCCTGTATCTGAGGCACAGTTAACAAAAATTCTCTCCCATTCCAAGGGCTGTCAATTTACACTAATTACAGTGTCGTTTGCTGTGCAGAAATTCCTTAATCTGATGTAATCCCATCTGTCTATTTGGGGGATTCTAAACATTTTTAATAATGTAATTCCATCATCAAGAATGCATTATTATCAATATATATGTTAAATTATTACTGAATATTAGTTTTATTATATAGTCTATAATCTTACTCTTTATGCTAAAAAAGTCTGGATAAAATGACAGAAGTGGTAGGAATCTTGAGTGCTGAATTAGAAACAATTCATGTTTAATGACTCGGCTCTAAACTTTATTTTTTAACTTTCTTTTGTCAGAATGTACATATGTACATTCTGTACATATGTACAAGCAGGAAGGAGAGAGAGGCAGAGAAAGAAAAACCCTCAACAGTCTCGTCATACCATAGACCCCATCCTGTAGCCTTCCAGTTAGTCAGGATCTTGGGCATGGTACAACCTGTGTGTTTCAGATCTTCTCAGGATCTGAACCTGTGGCCAGCTGTGCGGCTTCCAGCGTTGCACATCATATGCCTGTGCCACCAGGCTGAGTGAGCTCTGACTTGTTTGATGATGAGTAATACCAGCTCAGCTTCAGTGGTGATCAGAGGAAAAGTGTTTTCTTAAACAGAAAAATAAGTCATGGACTGGGTTTTTATGCTGACTCAGTGTTAGGTTGCTTTGCCACAGGCAAAGGAGAAAGTTGATCAGGGTATAAGAAAAGGTGAACTGGGACCAGCAGGTGGCGTGGTGGTTAAGGTGCTGGACACTCCCACATGGCCAACCAGCATTGAGTCCTGAATCTGGTGGCTTACTTTCTCACTTCCTCTCTCTCTCACTCTCAATCTCTGTCTCTCTCTGGTCAAATTAAAAAATAAATGAATGAATAAATAAAATAAAATATTTAAAAAAAGAAAAGGTGAACTAAGGCCTTTTTGGATTAAAAACATTCATAAGAAGTCAGTTTATTCAGACTAAACAAAGTAAGAGCAGAATGTCAATTTCTGTTCACATTTAGGTTTCTAAATACAGTATGGAAGCATATTTGAGGAATCAAAGGGATGTAAAATCATTTGCTTCCACAAATATTAAGCATTTTGCAGAACAATGCCAAAATCAATGACATGATCTATGTCCTCAAGAGTTTCACAATTGGGACCAGCAGTTAGCATAATGGCTATGTCGCTGGACTCCCATGTAGTCGACTGCAGTTCGAGTACCGGACCCAGTGGCTTAAACTCACGCTGGGCACGTGTGCGTGAGTGCCCAAGATCCCAAGAGGAGAATGGAGGAGAAGGGATTATGGCGTGGCCATCCCCTCTGGGGGGTGATTTCTCGCTTTCTGTCTCTCTGTCTCTCTCTGTCTGGCGAGTGCACGTGCCCTATAGCAAAAACCTCTCAAAAAAAAAAAAAGATTTTCACAATCTACTAAGATATAAATATCACAAACAATTGTCGTATAAGGAAGGTAGGTATAGTGATAACCCCACCTCAAATGACTGCTTTCCTTGGTTTGGCCACTATTTCCCTTAGATATTTAGACAGCTACTACTAAAGGATTTCCTTCTGATTGTCACTTTTTAATTAAAACTTCAAGTTATCCCTTCACTTACGGCTATGTTATGACAAAGGGTAACTGATTGCTTCAAGGAAAATTTTCTTTTAGGTAATACCATCCATGTAAAACTTCTGCCCTGCTTGTATCCTGTAATATTGAATAAATGATGATTGTATCATACAATATCAAATATATACTAGCCTCCTTCTGGGCTCAATGGGCTATGCTCTCATAATAGACAACAATTCAGGAATGATGTTTTATCCAATGAAATGACAAAAGCCAGATAAAACAAGACAGATACGGTCATTCTGGGAGTGGAATCTCAGTTACTCCATTTTGGCAAATCATTTAAAGGTTAAACAGCGTCCTCACTTAACAGCCAGTATAAAAGCAACCAGCTCACTTCATGGGAATAACTAATAACATTGAATTGTTCAGCATTTTACCAAGATGTACTCAATGCAGGTACAGTCAAGAGGAAGAAATTATTACACATTGCAAAGTTATGATGCATTTTGCTAAAATCTAAGGCCAATAAAAGTGCAGTATGATACAAGATTGATGCAAATTAATCAAAGGAGGTCACTCTCCCTTGACAGAGTGATCCTTCTGTTCCGGAAGACCTTGGCTTCCAAGAAGCTCACCTCACTCATTATTTCAGCATTTGTACTACAGAGCAGGGTACCGGACTTTGGACCTACAGCAATGGGGTGAAAAATGGGGAAACCGCGTGAAGCTATCCGAGCTCACAAATGGAGGGGCCACCACTAGAAGTCACGCTGAGACTGGCTAGGAAAAGGGATTGTTGAAAAGGTTACCACGGGTCCACGTGGGGCATCTGCAAATTCCCAAGATTTGGAGAATCAAAACCCTGGAAAGGTGAGGGTGTTCCACAGGGGAATTCCCAGGGAAAGACGGAGGTGGGCCAGGCGGCAGACTGAGTGTCCAGTCCTAGGGGTCCGCTCCGAGGGGAGGAGGGAGTCGGCGACAAAGAGGCGGGGGCGGCAGCGGGCGGCAGAGACAGGGAAGGAGGGGCGAGGCGCTGTCGCTGGCCCCCTCCCCGAGTCTGCTCTCCCCTTCCTTCCCTTCTCTGTCCGGCACCCGAGCGCATCCCGCCAAGGCTGGGCAGTTGCAGGGGGAGGCGCCAACTTGCCGCGGTGCTGGGCCCCCGACCGAGCAGTAACGGCGACCCAGGAGGCGGAGCGGACGCGTGGCAGCCCGAGGGCGGGGCGCCAAGCGTGAAGCAGGCGGATCCCAGGTACCCCCCGAGGTGAGCCACGACTCCCCGCCCCCGCGGCCCAGCTCGTAGCAGCGGTGACTGCTGAGCCGCCCCGGGGGCAAGAGCGGCGCCCAAGCTGCTGGCCGAGGCGTCGCTGCGCATGCGCAAACTTGCTAGGCTCGGGGCTTTGGGGCTACATTCTTGCCCAGGCCGGTGGGCCGAAAATGTGCGGCGGCGCATGCGCGACTCCGCTAGCGGGGGCTAGACTTTGGGCTCTGCAGCTATACCCCCGCCCAGGCAGCGGGGCGAGACTGTGCTGCGCGTGCGCCAGCCTGTCGGCAGGGGTTCGGCGTGCCGCTGTGAGCCTAAGTCCCCGCCAGGCCGCGGGCGGAGGAGGTGGTCCGCTGGCAGGGGTCGCGCGTGACCTCGCTCCTGGGGAATTGCCTATCTAGAGCCTGCCCATATGCTAGGCTTCCCAGTCCAGGGCGCCCGGCGTCCTGGCGGGAGGCTCCGGCCGCATAGTTGCCTCCCCACCCCAGTCTCCGCTCTGTCAGTGTTTTCACTTCGGTCGCCTCGACCCTTGGTTCTCGTCCTGCTCCCCCATCTCCCTAATGCGGAACGGTCTCGTCAATTCAGTGATGGTTTCTGCTTTCGACTGTTGGTCCAGATGTCGCGGCGTGGCGCGGAGAGCTTGATAGACTAGGCGGAGCTGCTTTGGAACGGCTGTGAAGGGATGGGGACAATTAGCCATACATCCTAAGGCGGAAGACACTGCTCTGCTCAGCCCCGGAAATAGAAGTTTTCTCGTTGGAAAACTTTCCAAGTGCTCCGCCCTGGCCGAGAAAGAACTTCCTGAGTTGGAAGGCGAGTTCCCGAATAAACTTTTTGCTTTCGTTCTTTGCAGAATTACATAAAATACTGCAACTGTACTGTAATGCATGTCTTAGTGCTGCCTTGTACCTCGCTTGGCGACTTAAATCTTTTTCAGAGCTGAATAAAAGTGGTTGAGTTCATAAACGGTGCTTTGGAACGTTGCTCTGTCCCCCCCAGACTGGAAAGTGACAGTCGCTACAGAATTCTTATTGAGCCTCCTGGCTTTGCACTTTCCCAGTACTGAGCCCCTTCTTGGCATTTCACTTTAGCGGCCATGGTACTCAGTTTAGTGAGTTTTGTGACGCCTGGAGCTATCATGAATAGGGTTTGATACTGTCATTTCTATGTGCCTTGCAATCTTATACCATGTGCTAATACATTCAGGGGCCAGAAGAGAACCACTCAGGCTTGGAGCATCTCAGTACTCTAGGTGGAATGTAAGCCTTTTATTTCCTATGGCACCGAGCAGTAAATACATGTTATCAAGTAGCAAATAAGGCTGCTGGAATGATAATTCTTACATACCCCACTCACACTATGCTGACCTATTGCTGCTATTAGACTCTCCAAGGGGACCTATGCATTTGCTATTTCTTCATGCTCAACTCCTATTTTTAGAGGGCACATAAATCTGCATAGCCCTGGACTTCATCCAAGTCTTGAAACAATTGCCATCACTTGGTAGAGGTAACTACCCCATCAAAAATAGCCTTTGCTCTGGCTCCCCAACCTCTTATTCTGCTCTATTTGGCTTTACAACACTTATTCACTGATAGTATGTATTTGGGTATGACCCATAATCTGCAGCTCAGGCAGTAAGCTATTTCTTAACTGCATAAATGAAGTCCTTGGAATTTAACTTGCTCCATAGATACTTTGGATGAACTCTCAACATGGATTCATTCATTCAGCAAACATTTATTTTCTATAAGTTTTCATCCGAGGTGGTTGGAATGTATCAGTGAACAGAAGAGCCATAGATTCCTTCTCTCTCAAGCCTACATTCCAGGGAAGAACAATAAACATATTTGATTATTGTGTTAGAAAATTATAAGTACTATGAAAAAGGAGAACAGCGAAAGGGGATTGGGAATGCAAATGTGGGTTAGAAGTTTTAATAGTATGGTTACAGTGAGTCTGAAAGATAAACCAAATGTGATGTTCTACCTGGGGAACTGAGTTTTAGAATTAAATATTCTCTCTAGGGGAAAATGTTCTCTACCAGGTTTAATACAGGGGTCTTTAAGGACACACTGTGTGAGAGAAGCTGGATCCCGCATGGGAACTGAGGTTCAAACCCAACCAGGTTGGCATAAAACACATTGGGTGTGTATGCCCAAGATCTGACGGGATAGACGACTAGAGGAAGGGATTGCGGTCAGACCCTGTAGAGGGTGCTCATCTCTCTCAGACACACACACATGTATGTGTGTGTACATATGTGCTCTATCATGAATAAAGAAAAATAAAGATTGTGACCAATACATATTATGAAAAAACTGTGCAGATATTTCAACATATTTTGCATCAAAGTAAAGTCCTACTTCACTGCAGTTTCCCATGAACCTTGTGAAGTCCCATGCATGTTTTCCATGGGGCACACAGCATGACCACTGTGACAAATGTCACTATCCTCTACAGTATGTAAGGTTAAAAAAAAAAGTTTTTCCAAATAGAGTTTAAAACCTTAGGATTTTATAGTCTAACTCAGCACATCAAATGGAGACCAGATTCTTTCTTGAAGGAGACTAGAAAAACTGAGATTTCATCACAGCACTTTGCAATTGCTTCTAATGTCCCTCTGACTGTGGGTGACTAAAAAAGTCTTTTCTAAGAATGATCACTACTATTCTTTATTTGAAATTGCATAGGAGACATGCTTAAGTCACCTGGCGTGATGTTACCTGGCAGAAATTTCTGTGTTTTGTTTTGTTTTGTTTTTCACTTTATCTTCTGGATGCTATAAAGTATTAGATGATCTCTGAGAGATTTCTGAATGAACCAGACAAACTTAACCAGATTTCAGTCCATGATTAAAGGAGGCTTAGAGAAGAAAGGCTGATGCAGAGGAAGGATTTTGCTTCCCCTCAGGATCCTTTACTTAAATAGCTTTCAAATACTATATGTTCAAACAGCAAAACACTATTAACCTAGAACCGTAAATGTAGGGAACCCATAGCATGTACTTATGCCCTTAGGAAATTGTCATATTCAATTTCAGTTTTATCAGTTTGCTAAAGTGAAATTAAAATGCCCCTAAGGTATTGCTGCTGTGAAGTTTACTCGACATTAAATTACTGTATATCAGAATTGTCCAGGAAAGGAAAATTTGAGACCTGGAACAGAATTATCAGAGAGAATTATCCTGTTCAAGGCTGAAAATAAAGGTCCACAGGGAATATCTACTTTAAAGGAGCAGATAGCTTGCCTACCTGTAAGGGATATATTCTTCATGCCCTCTAGCTTTCATTATTCGGAAGGAACACGTGTCTAGTTCATGTGGTGATCCCATCCTAACAATGTCAGTGTCTCCAGGAAACTTAAGCCGTAATAGTTTTTTCAGGTTAATTCAACAATGAAGCGTGTGGCGTTTATGTCTTTCAGTCTTGCTACTCTAACTCGAGCTAATACCGATTATTTCTGTCTCCCTATGAACGATGTTTCGATCTAACAAGTGGAGAATAGGTTGAGAGTTAATCATAAACCCATCACATGGTATGTTCTGTTAGGCTGAATGTATATAGTACAGAGCAAAGTGAATCCCAGGTGAAAATGAGCCAAGATTAAGAGGACCTACCGTGTTGCAGGAATATTTATGTTGTCGGTAAAGACTTTTAGGGGTTAGGATTCTATTTTTAACAGGGATGTTAGGATTTAAAAAAAAAATGAATTAGATCTATAATTTCAAGTGGATTTACAAACGAGTCTCAAGTACCAACTCTTAACAACTTAAAAATATTTGTATAGCTTATGTTGATCGTTTTCCATACTAGAAATGATCAACTATGTGCTATGTGCGACTGAATAGACCAACACTGAGGAGTTCAGTAATCTCTTCAAGTTAGATATGGTCATATGCAGTTGAACAATAGGGATATGTTCTAAGAAATGGATCATTAGGGAATTTCATTGTTGTGATGAACATCAGAGAATATACTTATCCAAACCTAGATGGTGTGTATTGTCCTACACATATCTAGGCTATATGATAGTTTATTGTCATCTTATTGGACCACTGTACTCTATGTGGTCTATTGTTGACTACATTGTCAGTTTGCAGTACATAACTGTACAACTTTGCTTTCACCTAAAGATCTATGTTATCACATTTGGTGTAATTTAGAAACCTTTTTTTTTTTTTTTTTTTTTTAACAATTAAAGTAGCAACTGTGTTTCTGGGTTCTATAAGTCAGTTCACTTATTTTTTTTTCTGAAGTATTAGGCAATACCATTTTATTTGAGGTTGTACTCTAGTTTTAATCGGACTCCATGTAGTTGACTGAGGTTCGAGTCCAGGACCCAGTGGCTTAAAATTACACAGGGAGCATGTGCATGCATCCCCAAGGTCCCAAGTGGAGAATGGAAGAGAAGGGATTGTGGCGTGGCCACCGCCCCCTGGGGTGTGATTTCTTGCTTTCTCTCTCTCTGTCTCTCACTGTCTTTCTGGTGAGCACACACGCCCTATAGCAAAAACCTCTCAAAAAAAAAAAAAAAAGTCGTGTAAGTATCTTACTATTGTTTGATTTCTAACATCTCATTCAACTACAGCTAAATTGCAGCTAATACATTTTTAAAGTGACAATTGGGATTAGGTTTTACTATATTTATATATTTATATTCTTTATTGCTTATAATACTAAAGTAAGCTATTAAAAGAGGGGCTGGCCAGCTAGGTGGAATAGTGGCTAAGGCAGCTAAGGAGGCTGGATCCTGCATGGCCAGATGTACAGTTCAAGTCCTGGACCTGTCAGATTGAAAAACATGGGCATCGTGTGTGCCCCAAATCCCAAAGGAGCATGGAGGAGATGGATTGTTGTGTGGTCATGCCCCCTGGGGAGAGCTTTCTCACTTTCTCTCTCTTTTTCTGTCTCTCTCCAGAGAGCATGCATCCTATTGCAAATTAAGAAAAAAAATAAAAGCTATTAAAGATTCCATCTAATGACTCAATTAAGCAAATACTTAAGAATTATCATTATCCCATTGATGTTTACCTGGTTAGGAGCTCATTAACACACTGACGCTGTAAACTGTGAACTGGTGTCCTAAAAGGCATTTCTTTTATTCAGTTACTTGCTGCTTTGATTATGAAAACATCTTCACATGTGTTGTCCAGATGGGAGAATTTGTTAAAGTGTGGAGTTTTATATTGCAAGAAAAAAAATTTTAATATGTTTATCAAGTATAGTTTTACAGTTGACTTCATCTTATGAAATTGGATTGAAAAATATGTACACTGGAATTTTTTTTTTTTGCAGAAATTCCTGGGTTTTTTTTTCCACTTTTTCTTTTGGGATCACTTTTCTGAAAAATAATTATCAGCATTTAGAAGCTTCTGGCTAACTGCAAAAATATCAGCCCTTAAGATTCACCACTGGGTTGAGGTAATATGAACACCAGCACTGAGGAGCTACATATTCTTTTGTCCCACATTATTTTGTTTTCTCTTTCATGTATTTGCTTTCCATTCAGTGCCTACTGCAGGCATTAATCACCATTTGTTGAATGAGTTAGGGAAATGAATGTGTGTCTTATAATCAGCTTAATCCATTATTTAGGTCGAAGGTATTACCAAATAATGACATATTGTGTAGCAGACTCACTGAATAATATTGATTAATTTGCCAACAGTAATATGTACACACTGCTATTATATGTTTTGTACAAGGAAACAAATTATTTGACTTGTTCTATGTGAGGATTAGGAATGGATTTATTGCATTATCAAAAGACTGTCTTCTTCTCTGCCAATCTTCAAGTCTGTAGTTAATAAGGATGTAAGAGGCCCAGTTGGGGGTGGTATGGGGGTAGGGCACTGCCACGCAATGCTAGAAACCACACAGGAAGGTTCTGGGTGGAACCTACTGTGCAGAAAAGGGGGAAAGTTTGAAAGCAGACCTAGACCAGGAGTAGAAAACTCTTTGTCATTCTAATGCACTGACATTAAACCTTTATTTTTCATTTTGGATTTTTTTCCTGTGACATCTAAAATATTACTCTTTGTCTATATTTTTTAGTTATCTTCCTATGGTATTGATAAAATTGTATTTAATAATGCCAAAATAAATGATAGTTTACTAGTTGTTATTATCAAATTGTATTTAATAATGGCAAAATAAATGGTAGTTAATTAGATGTTATTACGGTGTCTATGGTAAATAAAATTAGAATGGTGGTATTCTGATTCTAATATTTTGTTTTCTTTTACTTTGGGTAATCAATATAAAAGATATTTTCCTCCATACTGAGGAGATCAATTTAAATTTAAAATCTTTTTTTTTTTTTAGAGGTTTTTGCTATAGGGCGCATGCACTCGCCAGATAGAGAGAGACATAGAGACAGAAAGCAAGAAATCACCCCCCCAGGGGGGGATGGTCACGCCGCAATCCCTTCTCCTCCATTCTCCTCCATTCTCCTCTCGGGATCTTGGGCACGCACGCACGTGCGGCCAGCCTGAGTTCTAAGCCACCCGGTCTGGGACGCGAACCACAGTCAACTACGTGGGAATCCAGCGACATAGCCATTATGCTAACTGCTGGTTCCCTAAATGCACAATCTTGAAAACCATCTTGCCAACTGAAAAAGTCATAGCATATCAACTTATTGATAGAATTACATTATCTTTGGCATTACTTCAGTCAAAACTTTTCTATGAAAAAATTCCCATTAAATCCAGCCACACATACGTATGTTGGTATCTTTAACACATGTTTTAAAAACTTTATCAAATAGTTTATCTTATGTATCGTTTTGTGATTTAGTGATTTTTGGTCAGCATTGTTTTGGAGACTATCTGTATTGATTCTAGAGAATTTATTTTAATTGCAAGTTATATGTATACCACATTTTATCAGTTCTGTTGATGGATCCCGTTGATCAATTCTTTTTGTCATTTCTTGTTTTTTTGCTATTGTAAACTATTATGTATATGATTTAGATTTCATCAAGGCCAGTATTTTCCAAACCACAGGACAAAAACTTAATAATGGTCCTGAAATCACTTAGTGGACTGAGACCAGCATTTCCTTTTGAGTTGAAATAGAATAAGATTAAATAGAATAAGGTAGAATAGCATAAAAAAGAAAAAATAGAAAAGGGGATATCACAGAACATCTCAGTAGAAGGAGCATCTCCTGTATTTTGTGAGGTTTTGTTTTATAAATATACATGTATATGTATACGCACACACACACACACACATATATAAATATATAAACATTCAAACATTCAATCCTTTGCCAGCTATCATGTGTTTCTGTTGCAAATATCTTCTTCCATTTTGTGTCATGTTTCCCTTTGTTCAAATTTACCAGTCTTTTCTTTGTGTTTTATAATTTTATGTCTCATTTAAGAAATCCTTCCCTACCCTGAGGGCATAAAAATTTATTTTTTATACTTTCCTCTAAAAGCTTGAACCGTTCCTCCCCTTCACACACATTTCATGTGGTTTCTCAGTCATTTTCTTTTTTTTTTTTTTTTTTTGCTATAGGGTGAGTGCACTTGCTGAAGAGAGAGGGAAAATGAGAAAGCACTTCCATCCCCTACCCCCAGAGGCAGATAGCCATGCCACAGTCTCTTCTCCTCCATTCTCTTCTCAGGATTTTGGGCATGCATGCATATATGCCCAACCTGTTTTTCAAAGCACTGGGTGTGGGACTCAAACAGGGCTCTGGGCCACAGGGGATCCAGCTGCCTTAACCACCAAGCCACTGACTGGCCTTCTCTCACTTTCTATATCAAAATATTGTAGATTAAACTTTTTTTAGTATGTGCTTTATCATATGGTTCAGTGTCCAAATTACTGAAACCATTTTTTGAACACATATACTATCCTAAAGTTATGTTTTACAATTTTAACTGTTAGGTTGTCTGTAAAGTCATGACGAATTTGTGCATAGGAAAACTACATCAGGACTTTTCTGACAACCCCAATATTATAGGAGAACACCTCTATTGCTATCTTTTTAATAATAAAACTGTTAGAATTTTTAAACAGTGTTTTTGTTAAGTAATGGATTGTAAATTTGCAGGAGAATATATTCTTTGTGTTTTTTGTTTTTCTCTAATATAATTCATTTATGTATTTATATTTCCAGTCACATTAACTTTGCTTTAGAAGACAGCTTTACAAGGATCTAGAAGAAACAGGATTAAAGATGGACTGAACACTGGGCTCCAAAAATTTAAAACAATCAGGTATGAATGTTCTTGGAAGGAATGTTCCCAACAGTCAGTGTAAAGTAAAACTGTCTGGAATCTACACAGGGAAAACTTAAACTATTCTTGCAATATAGTAGAGGATTTAAGAGCAAAGGCTTTGGTCAGTCCTGGGTTCAAATACTGGCTATAATTCTGATTGACTGGTGATTGTTGGTTAAGGTACTGAAACATGTGCACAGCATAGAGTCAATGATTATATCTGTTTTATTGGATATTATAAAGATTAAATGAGGTCATTGTAAGGCTCTTAGTGCCTAGGACATGGTGACTATTTTAACTGTTATTATCGGTGCTTTGTTATTTAAAATACATTTTTATCACATCATGGATGTGGTTTTTTATATGTATATTGTAGAGTTTAAAACTATGTATTAGTGGAACCAGCAGCTGGAGTAATGGCTATGTCGCTGTACTCCCATGTAGTTGACCACAGTTTGTTTCCTGGACCTGGTGGCTTAAACTCATACCAGGCACATGTGTGTGCATGCCCAAGATCCCGAGAGGAGAACGGAGGGGAAGGGCTTGCGGTGTGGCCGTGCCCCCTGAGGGGTGATTTCTTGCTCTCTGTCTCTATCTCTTTCTGTCTTTCTGGTGTGCGCACACGCCCTATAGCAAAAAACTCTTCAAAAAAAAAAAAGTACATATTAGCATACTTCTATGATATTGATACTAATTATGTAGGTAACACCTACATATAGTGGAACACCTCTTTTTCTAACTAAAATAACTATAATCTCCAAATACATTTCACAAACTATATTCCTCAAATAGTATAAATTTAGGAAAACTATTTGGTTGTCAAGAAAGTCATGACGTATTTTTCTACATTTCTCTATGCAAACGTGCATCATGACTTTCTTGAGGACACAATAGTTTTCTCTGGTATGTGGCATCACAGTGGAATCACATTAAAAAAAAAAAAAAGCCAGACATTTTCTACAGGTCAACATAATTCAATTTTTTTTCATAGTATTGTCCAACAGTAATTAATCTTGAGTCATTTAAATTTTTTAGAACTATTTTAACTTTATTTATTTATTCTTCTAATTTGACTAAAATGAGAGAGAGAGAGAGAGAGAGAGAGGTGGAGAGAGAGAAAGTGAGAAAGCTAGCTGCCAGATCTGGGACTCAAACCATGTGCTGTGAGGGAGTCCAGCACCCTTAACCACCATGCCACCAGCTGGCCCCGAGTCATTTTTAAATCTTGAAGGACTTTCAGATCAGCAAACATGAAATTATGTTAATATTATATTTAGTGTTAGTTGAATCTTACTGACTAGCATTTCTGTGAATAAACAGAATGACCTGTTTTTCCCATCATTCTAATTTTAAGGAGTTTATTATTCCAGAAATTGATCAAAAACACTAAGTAGAGTTACTCAATTTCTACTTAAAACCCCAGGATAATGGTTCCATGATCTTAGCATATTAGTAAGAGTTCTTTTCTTCTAAAAACAAAGACGGCCTTCAGTACAGTGAGGGACAGCCACAAACATCTTTACTTTTATCCTTTTCCTTCTCTTCCTTATTTTATTTTAATTCTTTTTGCCTTTGAAGCCTCCTTCTCTACTCTTTCTTCTTCTCCTTTCTTCTCCTCCCTCTCTTTTTTTATTCCATTCAACTTGGTGCAGACAGTGAAGAGGTGTTTCTCGATAGAATGAGGCACAAAGTGGGATCCTTAATACAGGCAGGCTCCAATGTACACAAAGCTGTATTCCAAGCATGCTTCCAATGAATATGTTATGCTCTTCTCTGAGCCATAGCCATGGTGGTCACAGTAATGAGTCAATCATGGTGCTCCTCTCTCTTGAAGAGTTTGCAAATTAATAGAGATGATAAAGTCATATGGGAATAGCAGTCACATGAGCAAGATATGAAAAGTGCCATTAATGAGATTAAAAAAAGAAAAAAATACAGAGTAGGAGGGGGCCCAGGCCATTTGGGAGATCAGGAACCGCAGTATAACTGAGTCTTAGAGGCAATTAGTATTTTAACAGATCTGTTAATATGACATTAAGCATAACTAATATGTAGTACATTAATTAAATATGATAATGTATCTTTCCATATTGTCAATCAGATATAATTTTATAGATTTATAAATAGAAACTACTAAGTGATTCTTTAAAAAGCAATCATATGGGGACCAGCAGATGGCATAATGGCTATGTCGCTGGACTCCCACCTAGTCGACCGCGGTTTGCGTCCCGGACCCGGTGGCTTAAAACTCACGCCGGGCGCGTGTGCGTTCGTGCCCAAGATCCCGAGAGGAGAATGGAGGAGAAGGGATTGCGGCGTGTCCATCCCCCCTGGGGAGTGATTTCTCGTTCTGTCTCTCTGTCTTTCTAGCAAGCTCACGTTCCTTATAGCAGAAAACTCTCAAAAAAACCCCCCAAAGGAACCAGCAGTTGGCATAATGGCTATGTCGCTGGACTCCCACCTAGTCGACCGCGGTTTGCGTCCCGGACCCGGTGGCTTAAAACTCACGCCGGGCGCGTGTGCGTTCGTGCCCAAGATCCCGAGAGGAGAATGGAGGAGAAGGGATTGCAGCGTGGCCATCCCCTCTGGGGGGTGATTTCTCACTTTCTGTCTCTATGTCTCTCTCTGTCTGTCTGGCGAGCGCAAGCGCCCTATAGCGAAAACCTCTAAAAAAAAAAACAAAACCAAAACGAACAAACAAAAACAATCATATTTTCTGACTTGTCAAACATTAGAAATAATGACTTGCTATTAATTGCTTTAGTTTTGAGTTAGTAACTATTCCCCAGAGACCTTTTTATAGCTGAGGGAAAAAATTTACTAATATCCTCAAGGGCATTAACATGCTCATTAGTATTAAAGGACAGATTGATAAGGAACACTGTTAATACTTGACCTTATTTTGACTGTTTTCATCTATCAATTATAAGGTTTTACCCCTACTGTAGAAAATATCAGATAAAATATTCTGTTAGTATTTGACATGAATTGCATTTAAATAAATAAGAATTGACCTAATAAATTAGAAGAATCAACATTATTACATAAGGTTTTATTAAATTCCTTTCAAAGTAGAGAAAATATTATTTTGTTTAGACTTATTTTTAGTGATAAAATAATTAACTGTGTGATTATTGAACCATAGTCCAGACATATTGCATATCTTCTGATAGGGTTGTTTCTGCTGTAACTTTTATGTGGTAGAAAGTAGTCATTGTGGAGACATTTAAGGCAAGACTATTTGGTGCTGTTGCTGGATACCTGATAGTTGTTGTTTTATATTTTTCTTTACAAAAGCCACATTTATTTATTCTTTCATTCTTTTCATTTATTTCTCCTTTTTTCTTCCCCCAGCATCACAAATCACATAGTCTTCTGTGGAGTTGAAAAGTGATAAGTCTGCTCTTCACAGTGTTTTGGGATTTTCCAATTCCTGAAAAAGGTTCACCAAGGTCTAAAATTTACTTTTTCTTCTCTGTAGGAAGTCATCTCTGAAATGAAAAACTTTCTACTTGTTTCCTTATACATTTAATGATGTACATTTATCCTGGGATTACTTTTATGGATCTCAGCAGGATTCTCATAAGAGGCCATCTGGTAGTTACAGAATAGTTAAAATACTCTCTGGGTTTCATGAATGTTAACTCCTAGGATAAGCTTACTTCTCTTATCTTCCTTCACCATATTTAAGCGTAACTTATTTTCTCTGTTAATTAGAAGTAAAGTAATTTTGACCTGTTTAGTTTTATCCAACATATGGGATCCTGATTTTACCACATACTTTTTCCTCAGGAACTGCACAGGACTGAATCCATATGGAAGAAGAACTTCCTCTTATCTATGGAGAAAGTGGCAAGGTTAGAAAAAAAATCATGCCCTTGGAACATGTGTATACTGTTGCAAGAAATATACTTCCCTGAACATCTGTTGATCACACAATAGGAAGATGGTTGAGATAGTATCTATCTCTGAGGGGCTCACAGTACACTGACAGAGATGCCAACAGATATTTATTGTGGGTATTTGGGATGCTGAAAGGGTCTTCAGGTAACTGACATTACCTGAGGGGTGAAGAAAGGGCTCCCAAAGACTGTGAAGGTGACATTTGAGCTGGATGAGGAATGTAGGCCATGCTCTGCTTTAATAGATAATGCTGTGGGGCCAGCAGTTAACATAATGGCTATGTCGCTGAACTTCCATGTAGTCGACCGCGGTTTGAGTCTTAGACCTATTGGCTTAAACTCACGCCGAGCACTTATGCATGCGTGCCCAAGATCCCAAGAGGAGAATGGAGGAGAAGGGATTGTGGCGTGGCAATCCCCCCCCCCCGAGGGGTGATTTCTCGTTTTCTGTCTCTCTGTCTCTCTCTGTCTTTCTGGTAAGCACACACGCCCTATAGCAAAAACCTTTCCAAAAAAAAAAGATAATGTTAATGTTATCCTACAGAAGGCTCTGAACCAAATAATGTTGATTTCATTCATGGGGAATAAAAAATTTTTAAATACCCAATCTTAAATGCTGTGTTCTCAGTTCATCATAGATATTCTTTAACATATATATATTCTTTTCCATGACATCTGAATATTTCTGTCACCCAGTTTTTAGTCTAGTGAATGTCCAGTTGGTGACTAAAGTTTTACATCTTTCATCAGGCATGTTGTTTCCATCTTCTGGTATTTTATTAATTTTATAAAATATCAGCTTATTACTATTTAGTTATTAATAGTAATAAGCTAAACTGTATCTATTAATGTTTGTTTTCCACTCTTTTTTAATAAAATAAAAAAACTTCAATAAAAGTTGTAAATAATTATACAAAGCTAGCATAGTGTACAAACAAGGCAAAAATTCTGAAACTAAACCATAGCATTAACATGTGCTAACTTGAGGGGCCAGTAGGTGGCATGGTGGCTAAGAATGCTGGACTCTCAGTTGGCTGACCACGGTTCAAGTCACACTGCAAGCTGGACATGGTGGCTTGCTTTCTCTCTCTCTCTCTGTCCCTCTTTGGCCAAATTAAAATAAATTTTATTAAATTGAGTTAAAATTTATTTTAATAAATAAATTTAGTTTATTAAAATTTATTTTAGTTATAAAATAAAATAATAAAAGTTAAAGTTAAATAATTAAAATAAATAAAATACAGCTCAATAAAAAAATAAAAATAGGGAACCAGCAGTTAGCGTAATGGCTATGTCGCTGGATTCCCACGTAGTCGACCGCGGTTCGTGTCCCAGACCCGGTAGCTTAAAACTCACGCCGGGCGCGTGTACGTGTGTGCCCAAGATCCTGAGAGGAGAATGGAGGAGAAGGGATTGCAGCGTGACCATCCCCCCTGGGGGGTGATTTCTCGCTTTCTGTCTCTATGTCTCTCTCTGTCTGTCTGGCGAGCGCACACGCCCTACAGTGAAAATCTCTCAAAAAAAAAAAAAAATACTGACTTGAAGCATTCATTTATGAGCCCTTGTAGGAAAGTCCAACAGTAGCATACGAAAGAATGTGTAAGACCAGCTTCGTGGCACAGTGATCACGCACTGCTCAATTCAGCCAGATCCCACATGGACACCCTGGTTCAAATCCCTAGCCTGATCAGTCTGAAACACACCAGGCATGTGTGAGCGCCCAAGATCCAATGGGCTGCAAGGCCGGAGAAAGAAGATTGTGGTATGACCAGGCTCTGTGAAGGGTACTTTGTGCTCTTTTTCTTTGCTATGTGCATATGCTTATCACAAATAAAGGGGGAAAATGCTCAGAAGTAATATATAGATTTGAGAGTCTTATAAAACATTAATAGAAAAAAATTCCATTTTTTTCTTGGGAACAGATACTATAAAGTAAAACAAAGGACTTATAGAATCAACAATGAAGTTATTATATACAAAATGTTATAATGGTAGGAAACTTACAGAAGGTAAGGTGTTAGTATTTTTAGCCATGCCTAACATGTAATTTTGATTCTATTTACATATGCTTTATGTTAAATGGATTGTGTTAACTTCATAGTTGCTTATAATTAAGTGAAGTCTGGTAATCCACCTGGATCTTCAGGTTGATGGAGAAGCACAGTTATACAGGTAGCACACAGTCAAAGGAATAATATGGTCCATTTTGGTTTCTAATTTTATGGCAGTTGCATTTCCTTAAGCTAAAATTAAATTTTTACTACTTTGCATCTTTCAAACAGATGGCAGATAAAGGTGGGGACAGTAGACTGGAGATGAGCAATGTAGTAAAAGCCATCCGAGAATTGATTATTGCCTAAGATAGTGTCAATATGCAGTAAGAAGGGTTACTTGAGCCAAAGTAGGATCAAGTCTAGGGACATGATTTAATGATGAATTTTGCCATCCCAAAACAGTGCTTTTTTCCCTCCAAACAGGTTTTCCTATTCATGCTTGGCTCTTTTTCAGCTAGTGATTTACTTGAAGGTTGGGCACAGAGTCTGTGGGATGCCTTCTGTAGAGTGGCTTCTGTCATGCAGAGTGTTTGCAGTATGAAAAGGCATCTATGGGGTGTTGTAAATGTGAGTCCTTCATACATTGTCTCATGACTGTACTGGACAAAGATGTCCAGCAGAGGTTCTATAATTCTTTGAAACAGATATTAATTTACAAAAAAAATGTAAATACTGCATACATCTTTTATAAATTAAGTCATTAGTACTGTATACAGTAGTTCCCCTACAGACTTCAAAAATGACTTGCAAGAGCCAGCAGATAGCCTGGAGGTAAAGGCAGCTGCATCCCACATGGCCGGCTACACAGTTCAAGTCCTGGACCTGGCAACTTGAAAATCACATCAGACACATGTGTTTGTGTGCCCAAAATCCTATGAAGAGAACGGAGAATAAGGGACTGTTGCATAACCATCCCCCCGGGAGGTGATTTTTCACTTTCTTTTTCTCCCTCTCTGTCTCTCTCCAGCAAACACATGTGCCCTATAGCAAAAAAAAAAAAAAAATAATAATAATAATGGTTTCAATGCCCTCTAGCAGCCAGCTTTCTTTTATTATTATTATTTTTAATATTACTTTTAATCACATATATCTTTACAGTATATAGCATTTCTTTTTCCAGCACAATTTCCATGTGTATCAGTCAAGACAAGGACATTACTCTCTACATCATTATCATCAAATAGCTTTTCATTTTTTTCAGATTATTATTTTTTTTAAACATTAAATCACTATACATCATTTGGCTTGTAAAGAGAATTTACCTAATATGAAATACTTCTCAGACCAGTCCAGTTGAGAATACTATACATGTTATCAATAGGTAATAAGCCATTTCTGTGTCCCACAAATGTCATGCCTCTCTATTTGTTCTCATGCTATCCTTCTCTATACTCCTCCTTTCTCCCTACCCCCATCCCCTGTTCCACACCATCTTCAGTGTCCATCATTTTTTCACTGCTTTTTATGCCCTCCAGTATTTCAACCTCTACCATAGAGTGCAGATAGTCGGTATATATGAAGTGGAGACATACGATAACTTTCTTTCATTGCCTGGCTAGTGATCAGTAGAGTCATGTGCTGAGTACTGTAAATTTTTGTACAGATAGGCCAGGAAGAGAATTAAAAGTAATGATTGATAGACAAGTGTTTAGGAGCTGGCTATAATTTACAATCTGATTCTAGACATCCAAGAAACCACTTGAGTTTGTAACAAGGCAGTTTGAAATCCAAAAATATGCTTGAAAGGAAAAAATGAGATAGCAATTAATCATTGTATCCTGCTACCTGCCCTGTTGGTGAAAGATGACCTAACAGTGGGTATTTTTGCTGTATTTGTTAAGGACTCGATAAGAACAGCCAAAGCCCTTCAAATGCACGCAAATGCTAGGTCTACCAGTAGTATAACATTATATGTGAACGTTTTACTCAGCGATCAGATGGACTGTGAAAATAAATCTGGGCTTTAATCTGGGCTAGCTCACTTAGAAGCTACTAATTCTGTAAGATTACTTATTTTCTCTGTGCCTTAGTTTCCTCACAGGTAACATAAGGATAACAATATTTATGCCCCATTGTGTTGAAGATTAGAAATAATATTGGGACCAGCAGTTAGTGTAATGACTATGTCACTGGACTCCCATGTAGTCAACCGTGGTTCTAGTACCAGACCTGGTGGCTTAAACTCATGCCGGGTGCATGTGCGTGTGTGCCCAAGATCCCGAGAGGAGAATGGAGGAGAAGGGATTGCGGCGTGGCCATCCCCTCTGGGGTGTGATTTCTCACTTTCTGTCTCTCTGTCTCTCTCTGTCTTTCTGGAGAGTGCATGCGCCCTATAGCAAAAAAAAAAAAAAAATCCTCTCCAAAAAAAGAAGAAATAACATAAAAACTCCATTAACTACAACATCAATACATGTCCATTATATATTTGATGCCACTTTCAACTTTGTGCTTTTAGAAATTTACAGACTTAAATAGGAAGCAAAAATTAGAAGTAGACCTCATAAGATTCCTTCATGATATAAGGAGCTGGGAAATTTAAAGTAGAAGGAGAGACTGGAAATTCCATAATGAGATTCTGTCCTTAGCCCTATTGTGGACTTGGGCAAATTGCCAGACTTTTCGATAATGGAACTGTCTCACAGAAAGGAAAAAAAAATTTATGAAGACTCATGGATTCCTAAATAATATAATGTCATCATATACAGTCTTTGTGTTCTTTGAAATACACATAATTGGTAGCTAGAGCATAGGTTATGAGAACAGGAGAGCTTGGTGCAGTCCCATCACTTCTAATGCCATTGGTCTTTGCATGTTTCCCAGAGCTTCCTACAGTGCCAGGTTGGGACAGAATATCCACAAGTTCACAACCTTTGTGGTCCATAGGAGCTCCTATGAAGAGGAGGGCCTGGGAAGAGTCTGCCATGGCGGTTATTAGCTATGATGGCTTTGTACATCAGATATGAATTCGTTGTACCTTTCTTTCTTTTTTTTTCTTTTTTTTCTTTTTTTAAGTTTTGCTATAAGGTGTGTGTGTTCACTAGAGAGAGGCAGAGAGAGAAGAAAAGTGAGAAATCTCCCAGAGAAGATGGCCTCACTGCAATCTCTTCTTCACCATTCTCCTCTTGTAATTTTGGGCACACATATGTGCACATGTGCTCTCTCTCTCTCTCTCCCCTCCCCCAGTGTGATTTACAAGCCATCAAGTTCAGGACTCAAACAGTGCCCTCAGCCTTGCTGCTTCAACCTCCATGCCACCTGCTGGCCGCACCTTTCTTTATAGTAAACACTATCCTTAAGAAATAAAGATGTTTTAGTTCATTCATTGCACTTTAGGTACAACTTTAGTATTGTTGGCCGTGATCAGAAGAAAATCTCAAAATTTGAGAACTTGGTCATAGAATAGTATCTGATGGTGTGGCTTAGGTGTAATAGAAATGAACACTATTGGAGCTGTGAGTAGAGAACAAAAGTGCCAGGATTTGGGACTATCTGGAATATTATAATCAGCAAAATTAATAGCAATGAGGATGGGGAAGCTTGTAAGTCAATAGTGTGGATTTCAGAAGAGTAACTTTGCTGACTTGTGCTTTCAGACATCCTCACCCAAATCCCAAAGTGGAAGGCACAAATATTCTTTCCTATCTGTGGAAAATAAGTTGCTAGTCCACTTAGTTTCATACTAGAACTCATTCCTAGCAAAGCTGATTTAATAGCTGATGTTAAAACAAGGCCTTAAAACGTTTTGCTCCTTTAAACCAAGCAAGAGTTTGCTGATGACTGTGGGAAATGACCAAACACACCATTCTGTAGGCATATTGGCATCTTGTTATAATCGTCAGCGGTTTTTGAAAGTGGAAAACTTTAGGTAAAAAAAATGCCTCCAATGTAGCAACTGAAATAAAACACACACACTTTCTCTCCTTTTTTATAATTTTTGCCAACAATAAAACTACTGGTGGAAAACACTGGGGAAGCTCTGGGAGACATTGGGGTAGGCCAAGACTTAAGTGAGACCCCCCAAAGCACGGGTTATAATCTCCAAAATAAACAAGTGGGATTACATCAGATTAAGAAGTTTCTGCACAGCAAAGGACACCATCACTAGTGTGAATTGACAACCCATGGAATGGGAGAGAATTTTTGTTTACTGTGCCTCAGATAAGGGACTGATAACCAGAATACACAGGGAACTCAAGCAGCTTACCCAGAAAAAAAAAAAAGATTAACCCAATTAAAAGATGGGAAAATTAGCTGAATAAACAACTCTCTAAGGTAGACATATGAATAGCCAAAAAGCATATGAAGAAATGTTCAGCATCTCTCATAAGTAAGATGCAAATCAAAACCACAATAAGATACCATTAACCCCAGTCAGAATGGTAAAGATTAAAAAAAAAAAATGATAAGTGTGTGGGAGGGGATGCAGTGAAAGGGGAACACTCCTACATTGTTAGTGGGATTGTAAATTGGTCCAGCCACTGTGGAGAACAATATGAAGGTTCCTCAAAGACCTTCGAATAGAACTACCATATGATCCAGCAATTCCACTCCTAGGTATCTACCCAAAGGATAGGAGAACGCTCTATTGGAAAAGCGCTTGCACATCTATATTCATTGCAGACTTATTCATGATTGCTAAGACATGGAACCAACCCAAATGTCCACAAATAGATGAATAGATTTAAAAAGTGTGGCACATATACTCCATGGACTACTATTCAGCCATAAGAAACAAGACCCTGGAATTTGATAGAAAGTGGACCAATATGAAAGATCTGTTGCTGAGTGAAGCAAGTCAGGCTATGAAAGAGAGCCATTGTATGTCTCCCCTTAACATATGCTGACTGTCAGCTCTCTATTGCAGAAACTGAAATACTGGAGGACATACAAGCATTAAAAATTGTTATGCACACTAGAGCCAAAGTGGAAAGAGTAGGGGAGGGGAAGAGCATAGGAAAGGAAATTTGGGGTGGGGGGAAATGAAGAGGTAAGGCATTTGTGGGACGTGGATATGGTTTATTATTGTTTGTGTTTTGTTTTGGAGAGGTTTTCGCTGTAGGGTGCGTGCGCTTGCCAGAAAGACAGAGAGAGACAGAGAGATAGAAGGTGAGAAATCACCCCCCAGGGGGGATGGCAATGCTGTTATTATTTGTCGATGACGACGTGCATATGTTCTCAACTGGCTGGACTGAGGTGTGTGTCACACTGGGTAAATTCTCTTTACAATCTAAATGATGTATAGCAATTAAATGTATAAATAATAATTAAAATTAATAAATAAAAAATTATTTAAAAAAATTTTGCCAGGAGGAGCATGTGCACTTGCTAGAGAGAGCAAGAGAAAGTGAGAAAGCACCCCCATTGGACATGGTCACGCTGCCTCCCTTTTCTTCCATTTCTCCCTCCTTTTAGAATTTTGGACACATTTCACTGTTTTGAGGTTTAATTGTGATCCTCCAATACATATGATAAGACCTAACACCCAGTACCTCAGAATGTGACTTATTTGGAAATGGGGTCATTGTAGATTATTTAGTTAAGATGAAGTCTAGTGGACTCTAGTCTAATATTACTGCTGTCCTTAGATGAACGGGAAATTTGGGCACAGAAATACACACAGGGAAGACAGTATGAACAGACAGAGGGAGAAGAGAGCTGTCTACAAGCCAAGAAGAGAGACTTGGAATAGATCTTTTCGTCACAACTCTCAGAAGGAATCTAACCAGCTGACAGCTTGATTTTGGCATTTTAGTATCCAGAAATGCTGTTATTTAAGGCACCTAGATTGCTGTATTTTGCTACAGTGGTCCTCACAAATTAGCGCATATGCTGTTTTGGGGAGAGATTTTTGTTATAGGGCACATGCACTTGCTGGAGAGCCAGAGCCAGAGGCAGAAATCACCCTCTCCAGGGGGTATGGCCATGCTACAATTCCTTCTCCATTCTCCTCTCATGATTTTGGGCATGCACATGTATACACTCAAGTGAGTTTCAAGCCACCAGGTCTGGCGCTCGAGCTGCAGTTGGCCATGTGGAAGTCCAGAGACATAACCATTATCCCATCTGCTGGTCCCAGTGCAAGTGCTTTTTGAATGTCTCTTCCTACCAATTCCCAAATGATGAGAGATTTGGAAACCCAACAGCCACTCATACTGAAGGTAAAGTAAAGCTTGTTCAAGAACGGAAACTTTTGCACCATTTCCCTGGTGTCACCGTCAGCTTTGTTCTTTTTCAAGGATTTGCCCTGTTAAGACTTAGGCAGCAGGTAAAATGTCAGTTTTCTTTCTTTTTCTTGCTTTTGTAAGGGGAACTCAAAAAGTCAGTGGAAAAATGAAATCAATGTATGAGTTTATTTTGGTATACACACAGAATTGAAATCCATGTATAATTTTTTCATGATATACATTTTCCATGAACATTTTGAAAACTCCTTTAGTTTTCTAAAGGAAACTATATTTATGCCTAACCATATTTAAAGTCCTTGTTAAACGTTCAGCTGTCCCCTCCCCCAAGTTCAGCTTTAGATGATTCCTGTGTCCTTGAGGAAAATTAATGGGTGAGCTCTGATTCCAGCCAGACCTCTAGTGCTGGGTTACCATTAGGGCAGTACCAAAGCAGCTGGACAGCTTTTAAAGGCAATTACTGCTGCTCTGCAATTCCTGAGCTCTGTCTCAAAAATTGATAGAGCTCATTCCTCCTTAGACCAGTATTAACCCTTTTTTGCAGAAGTGAAAGGGGCAAAGGACATACATGCATTTTTAAAAATTAGTGGTCTAATTTTTTTTTTCCCTTTTCAGCCAGTACGGGCTACTCTGTCATCTCTGAAGATGTTAGATGTGGGGAAGTGGCCAATTTTTTCCCTCTGTTCTGAGGCAGAGCTGCAGTTAATTCGTCAGGCTTGTGTCTTTGGCAGTGCTGGCAATGAAGTTTTGTATACTACAGTAAATGATGAGGTAACTTTGAAGACAAAAATCTTGCTACCCATATTCTTAGTAATGGATTTACTAAATTGCTTTAAATGTTGAGGAAATGAAAGAAGAAAGGTTGAGAAAGATCATGGAAAGTAAATTCTTCCTTATTCCTTAATGGAGCAGCTTGCTTTAGGAATACTGTGCCTATTCAAGTGTCATTTATAGGTTTGTCAGAAATAGAACTGTGTGAACTAACAGTATTTCTCCCACAGATTTTTGTGCTTGGCACCAACTGCTGTGGCTGTTTGGGGTTAGGCGATGTCCAGAGCACCATTGAACCTCGGAGACTGGATTGTTTAAGTGGCAAAAAGATAGCCTGCCTCAGCTATGGGAGTGGTCCACATGTTGTCCTGGCAACGACAGGTAACCCAAGAACACAGTATGGAATTTTTGCCATTGATTTTGTTGAGAAGCACAATGAGGACTGCCCTTCCACTGAGAACATACTTTTTGATTGGTCAGGAATTGCTGGACCTGTCCTGTGAACTTGATTATGTTTTGGGTAACATAAAAAATGAATATATCTGAAGATCAGATTAAGATAATGTAGCAGGGGACCAGCAGTTAGCGTAATGGCTATGTCGCTGGACGCCCACGTAGTCGACCGCGGTTCACGTCCCGGACCCGGTGGCTTAAAACTCATGCCAGGTGCGTGTGCATGCATGTCCAAGATCCTGAGAGGAGAATGGAGGAGAAGGGATTGCGGCATGGCCATCCCCCCTGGGGGGTGATTTCTCGCTTTCTGTCTCTCTGTCTCTCTCTCTGTCTGTCTGGCGAGCGCAAGCGCCCTATCACAGAAACCTCTCAAAAAAAAAAAAAAGATAATGTAGCAGATGGAATCTAGCAATAATTGGTATTTTATATGTATGCATGACAGTGGTATAAGCTCAGTAAACTTCTATATATACTTTATAAGTGTAATTATTGTATTATTGAGTCATCAGAAAAGTCATGACATGGGGCTGGCAGGTGGCATGGTAGTTAAGGGCGCTGAACTCACATGGTTGACTCCGATTCGATTCTTAGACCTGGTGGCTTATTTTCTCTCTCTCTTGTTCTGTCCCTCTCAAGTCAAATAAATAAATAAATAAAGTTAAATAAGATAATTTTTTTAAAAAGAAAAATCATAACATATTTTTCTATGTTTTTCCATGCAAAAATGCAACATGACTTTTCCGATGACCCAATAGAATGCTAAACTGAACTTGGTGTGTGGACTTCCGCCAAGTCTACATTTTGAACTTTATTTCCTGATTTATGAATTGAGAAACCAAACCTTGATTCCAACTTCCTCGTCTAATTCTTAGCATTCTGTGGTTTTTACATTTTAAATAGTGACTGAGGGCTCTAGTTGGTATTGGTATTATAGGGAGTTAAACATTTTCATGGCTACTTCATGAATTCAGACTAAGATGATTTTACAATTAAAGCATACCTTCAAGTTTCCCTTAGGCTTAGTATTCATTTTATTAGTCTTTTTTTAGAGAGAGATTTTTGCTATAGGGCGCATGTGCTTGCTTGCCAGAGAGACAGAGATAGAGAGATAGAAAGCAAGAAATCACCCCAACGGTGGATGACCAAGCTAGAATCCCTTCTCCTCCATTTTCCTCTTGGGGTTTTGGGCACCCAAACCCACACACCCAGCATGAGGTTAAAGCTACTAGGTGCAGGACTCAAACCTCGGTCGGCTATGTGGGAGTCCAGCAACTTAACCATTGTACCATTTGCTGGTCACATCATTTTATTAGTATTATTTACACTGAATTGTATAGATAATCTTCTATGTATTCATTTTACATTAAAAATAAGTTCTAGGGATTTTTAGTTCTCAGTAAGAACAGGTTGGATTCAATTCTAGGTAAAATATTCATTTTTTTTCCAGATAGACACCAAAGCATGGATGAGGCAGAAAACAATTATTAGACCAAAATTTAAGAGAAAATGTCAACTAAAAGGTTAGAGGAGGACCTGAAACTACTTTTGCCTATCCACTGAAGCTGAGCTGTTGTTTAGATGTACTCAGGATGTGAGGGGTGTCATTAGACAAGGTCTACCTATCTGAGTCTAATAGAAGACCTCCCACAAAAGCTAAGCTCTCAGGGAAAGAATCAGCCATTTTCCTAGGGAACAGATAGAAGTTCTTACTCTGAACAAAGCAGAGAGGAAAAAGGAAAGAAAAAAATAAGATCTCTCCCTAACAGTTTGTAATCATGGATTTGTAGTTTAATTCACATTAGGCTGGATAATCCAAGAAATCTCAGTCCTTGAATGTTTTAGAGCTACTAGACTGGAAGCGCTTTAAGGTCATGATATAAGTTAATGCAAATCCTTTCCAGAGGACAGCATCTTCATCGTGGGCTTGGGGGAATCACTATGAGTAGTTTTTCATTGACAATAAAGCAGTGCAAGTCAAAAACAACCAGGTGTACAACCAGGTAGACAGGGAAACAAGGCACCATGAACGAGAACCAGCAGAATAAACAGAGGACAAAAACTGACAACGAAATATTGTCAGATATTAGGATTATCATATACCAGTTATGGCAGCTATATTTATTGTTTGAATTAATTTTTTAAAAAAGAGCTTAAAGATATCTACAGAAATTATAGAAGAGTTTAAAAAAAGACCCAAATGAACAATATAAATAGTCTGAAAATTTGTGGACAAGTTCTATGGCAGTTTGGACTTAGCAAATGAGAAAATTAATAAACTATAAGATAGGTCAGAAGAAATAATTTGGAATATAAAGCAAAGAGACAATATAGTGGAAAATACAGATCAAATGAGTACATAACTGTATTATTTCATGTATTCAAATTTCAAAACTAGGAAAGATTAAATTCTTTTATATAAGATGCATATATGAGGGGCCTTGGGGGTGATCATAGGTTCTATTTCTTGACCTGAGTTTGTACTTTATAATTATTTATAAAATTGCACTTTCAAAAAGTTCATGAAAAATGTATATTATGAAAAAACTATGCATAGATTTCAAAAATGTTTTATACCAAAATAAAATTATACTTTGATTCAGATTTCCACAAACTTTTCATGTCCCCTTGTACGCCTTATGAACTTTCTTGATTGTACTACACAATAAATAGTAAAATAACAAAGGCAAAAAGTAACCTGATTATCGTAATAAGAAAATTAAGACTCAGAGTAGTTAACTAGATTCAGTTAACTGGAGTTACTCTGGATTCAGAGGAGTTTATCCTTTGACTTTCTATCTAAAGTTCTTTTTGTTACTCTGAGCAGCTATTTCTCTGTTGTTTATTAAAAACCTATCTTTCAGCAGTTGTAACTACATGCATTTAAATTTCATTTTGTAGCTTTGAGATAGAATAAAGTTTATGTTTCCCAGATACAGATGCTCCTCTACTTATGATTTCCATCCCAGTGAGCCTATTGTAAGTTGAAAATGCATCTAGTACACCTACTCTACCAAACATCATAGCTTAGCCTAGTCTACCTTCAGTGTTCTCTGAACACTTACATTTGCCTACAGTTGGGCAAAATCATGTGATACAGAGCCAATTTTATAATGAAGTACTGAATATCTTATGTTATTTATTGAATACTATACTGAAAGTGATAAACAGAACAGTTGTATGGACACTTGATGTATGGTGTCTCAATCTTTATCATTTGCCTACCATCGTAAAGTTGAAAACTGATAAGTCAAACCATTCTAAGTCAGGGATCATCTGAGAATGAGTTTAGTGGGATAGGGTGGTTGATTAACTTGTTGCATCTGAATTCTTAGTTTTCATTTATAGAAGCTGTACAATATGTATTTTTCATGTAATGAAGTAGAGATTTAAAAAGCTATCTATCTTTTTTTTTATTTTCAGAAGGAGAAGTTTTTACCTGGGGTCATAATGCTTATAGCCAGCTGGGCAATGGCACAACTAATCATGGTTTAGTGCCCTGTCATATCTCTACTAACTTGTCAAATAAACAAGTCATTGAAGTTGCCTGTGGGTCCTACCATTCTTTGGTGCTAACATCTGATGGAGAGGTGAGAAGAGTCAGCATAAATTGTTTTTTTTTCTTAATAAGATTCTGTAAAGTCCCATAACAGTTCTAGAATTATCATAATTGATTAAAATAACCACCTCAAATTCAACCTGTTCTTGGTAGCAATTCATAATCATGGTGTTTTTATAATGAAGTCTGCCCGTGTGCAATAAGGACTTCTACAACTGAAGATTTAAAAGGATGTATTATTGCTTCTATATTGCTTTAGTGAAGAGGTTACTTGAAGAAGGGAAGATCCAAGGAGTACTGGAAAATATGGCCAAGAGCAATGTAGATATTTTTGTGTTATATATTTGATAGCAATTATCATTATTTGTGTAGATAGCACCAAAAACCTAATTTCATGAAATAATTCATTGTAAGAATGAATTTTATAAAAAGTTCTCTACCTGTTTTATAAGAATTTACAGATATAAAGCACTTTGAGAGGAAAGGTTGGATGCCGATAAGTATATTTATTAGTGTCCAGTCAAGATATTTCATTAATGTGTTTCATTTATCGATCTTTCCTTTCAAATAGGTATTTGCCTGGGGCTATAATAACTCTGGGCAAGTAGGGTCTGGATCAACAGCTAACCAGCCTATCCCTAGAAGAGTCACAGGCTGCTTACAGAATAAAGTAGTTGTGAACATAGCATGTGGGCAGATGTGCTCAATGGCCGTGGTGGACACTGGGGAGGTAAGTGAACTGTTTCATATTTTGTTTTAAAAACCTGTTTGCCATATCAATGGAATACCAATTTGGCATGCTTCTCCTAACAGAGAGTTTGAGGGCTGTTGTCTTCTGTGAGCACTGAGTTTCTCATTTTTCTTCAGGTCTATGTCTGGGGTTACAATGGAAATGGGCAGCTTGGACTTGGCAGTAGTGGCAACCAGCCAACCCCCTGCAGAGTATCAGCTCTGCAAGGCATTCGTGTCCAGCGGGTATGTCCACTGGTGGCTTATGTGTGTGTATTTTTACGTCTTTAGTGGCAGAGATACCAACGTATTAAAAACACAGTTTTCTCAGCAAGATGAAAGGTGAATTGCGTAGCTGTCTACATTGGAGTAAAGGTTAATGATATTTTTTCCTGATTCAAGTTGTAGGTGATCATCAGAAAAGTTCTATTTCTAGGGCACTCTCATACACATCTTTTGAAATATAGACTTTTCCAAGGAATTTTGCCAGTATATATCAAGGTCCTTAAAAATCTTTCTACAGTCTTTCTTGACCTGTAATTCTTAGGAAATTCCCTAAGAAACCAAAGAGAAAGTCTTATTGAATTAGTTAGGAAATTATAGGGAAAAAAATGGGTAACTTTATTAAAAAAAAACAGTAGGTATAACATAGGGAAAAAGTCCGTAACTTTATAAAAAACAGTTTGTGTAACAATTTAATCAAACAATAAATGAATACTTAGATAAATTATGCTAAATCTATATGGTGGAAATAGTGTTTGCAAAGAATTTTTAATGATATGAAAAAGTGCTATATATGGGGACCAGCAGTTAGCGTAATGGCTATGTCGCTGGACTCCCCGTCCCGGACCCAGTGGCTTAAAACTCACGCCGGGCGCATGTGCGTGCGCACCCAAGATCCCAAGAGGAGAATGGAGGAGAAGGGATTGTGGTGTGGCCATCCCCCTGGGGGGTGATTTCTCGCTTTCTGTCTCTCTGTATCTCTGTCTGTCTGGCGAGCGCATGCACCCTATAGCAAAAAAAAAAA